GACACACAGCTATGGGGCCCGTGAGCCCCCAAGGGGGTCCCAACCACTGAGTTATATTAGTTATATTACAGTGGGAGGTTTTTTTTTTTTTTTTTTTTTTTTTGAGATGGAGTCTCTCTATGTCACCAGGCTGGAATGCAGTGGCATGATCTCGGCTCACTGCAACCTCCGCCTCCCCGTTCAAGTGATTCTCCTGCCTCAGCCTCCCAAGTAGCTGGGACTGCAGGTGTGCACCACCACGTCCAGCTAATTTTTGTATTTTTAGTAGTGACAGGGTTTCACCATGTTGGCTAGGATGGTCTTGCTCTCTTGACCTCGTGATCCACCTGCCTGGGCCTTCCCAAACTGCTGGAATTACATACAATGGGAGCTTTAGGGAGCATTTACTGAACATCTACAAAGTGCCATGAGCTGATATAATTCTCTTTCCTACTCAAATGAAAAGGAGTTGTGCAAAGGTTTTGCAACATTTGCAGCCAGGTAGATACAGATTTGAAGCCTGGGATCCCTGTTTTCTAATTACAGGACCTTCTGTGAATGATTTTTCTGAGCCTCAGTTTCCTTATCTATAAAGCTGGATAACAATACTTAGCCTTGCTTAGGGAAAAAATAGAGATAATGGAACAATCTCTCCTAGCATAGCACCTGCAATATAGTAGACATTCATTAGCAAAAACTATTATTTGAGTATTAAGAGCAACATACCATCACCCTTCCTTTCCTAGGACGGAACTGATTCCTGGAGAGCTTTATTCATTAGCCAGAAAATCACTTACCTAGTGAGAGAGCTGGGTAGACCCAGTCCATCTAATTCCAAAGCCCTCACCCTTTCCACAGCACTACTTGCTGCAGGCCTCTTGGGGGAATTCACTGTACTGTTCTCAATGATTAATTCCTATTGAATGAAATTTCAATGAACATGAATGAGCTGATTGTGAGTAGAGATGATCCTAGTAAACACTAGTCTATTAGAGATGTGCTACTGATCAATGCTCCGCTTCTGAAAGGAAAGCCAAGCAAAGGATCTGTGAAAACAAGGTATGTTTTTAGACATGACAGATGCCATCAATGTCGCCAGAACATACTTTTCAAGCCTTAACCCCTATCTGAGGCCCAGCCCCACTCTCCTCATGCTTCTGGGCTGAGCCCAAGTATCCATGTTCTCTCTGCCTGAAACTGCCTCTCCTCCCCTCTGTACCAACAAGCTTTCTCATATCCCCCCAGCCTCAGTTGTGATGCCTCAGAAGGCCTCCTCCTCAGGAAGGCCCCCTCCTTAGAATGGCTCCTTCTTAGAAAGGCCTGTTCCTCAGCAATATCTCCTCAGAAAGGCCTCTTCCTCAGGAAGGCTCACTTCTTAGATGGCCTCCTCCTCAAAAAGGCCTATTTCTTAGAATGGCCTCTTCCTCAGAGACCTTTCTGAGGAGGCCACCCCAGGAAGGCCTTCTCCTTAGAAGCCCTCCTCAGAAAACCTCCTCTCCTCAGGAATATCTTCTCCTCAGAAAGGCCTCTTCTTAGAAAGTCCTCCTTCTCAGAAAGGTCTCCCCCTCAGAAAGGCCCCCTCAGAAAGGCTTCCTCTGTAGAAACCCTCCTCCTCATGAAGGCCTCCTCCTCAGGAACGCCCCCTCAGATTGCTCAACTCTCAGTGTCCCTGTGACACCTTGCTTTTAGTTCAATATCAGAACTTACTACTTTGTATTTGATAATTTATCTATCTATCTGCATGTCTCTTCCCCTCTAGACTAAAATGTCGTGAAGAGAATGAAGCTAGAATTGTTCCTTTTTGCATTTCCAGGGCCTTGCTACATTGTCACAGGACACAGAGTAGGGTTGGATGAAGTGTTTGTTGAGTAAATGAAGTCATCTTGCCCATCTTCCTGTGTTTGAGTTTAACCAAGCTTTGCCTTTTCTATTTTGGTTTTATATGTACCACATGCTGGTGCCTTCTTGCCTCCCCTTAGATGACACACTCTGCGAGCTAATAAATATTCCTCGCTGGCTGCATTCCCTGCCTGTAGCCTGTCTGCCATCCATACAGAAACACCCACAGCATGGGGACCACCTTGCCCTGTGCATTCAAGTTAAAACAAAATGATTCAACACTTCCAAAACCGGCACATAAGATGCAAATGGTTTCCAAAAAATAGACCAAAAGCCAAACTGAAGAAAAACACCAAGGAAAAAAACCAGGCAGAGAGAAAAAGCTATATGTGAGCCAGGCATACCAAGGGCAGGTTTTATCAGGCCCCGATGGGCAGACTTTTTTACGGGATACTTGTAGGTATCCCGTGCAAAACGCAACTGGGGGCTTGCTAGGCATTTTCAGCTACCTCTACCTTATTGCACTTCCTCACAGCCTGCTGAAGTAGGTTGTTCCTTCTCTTTTACATTTGAGGAAACTGAGGCTGTTTTCATGATTTACACAAATCCAACTGGAAAAGGGGAAAAGCCCAGTCTCGATCCTCAATCTGACCATTTCTTAGTTCACTATACATTTCCATTATCCACAGGCATTTATGAGGAAATGCTAGTTCCAAAGCCAAGTCCATGACGAGGCAGTTGCTGGTGTTAGTATGCACAGGAGACTCTTTTGGCAGCAGCCCTAAGGGTTTGTTTCTTTTTTTGGGGGGGGTGGGGTGGTTAATAGGAGATAATTCTCATTTTCATTCCCTGAAGGCAACCTCCAGGCTTGGCCATAGGGAAGTACCTGTGCCTCGCATGCCACTCACTGCCTCCTGCAGCACCTCTGAGGCCACAGTACCCAGTTCAGGTAGCTCCGCCATCCACGTCCTGCCCCACTTCCAGTGCTGTTCAAACCTGTCCTGCCCAAGGAGGGCTGGGAGTGTCCCAGGGAGACCCCCTGCTGCTGGAGAGCGGGACCGATCTGCCCTACTAGCAGGTAGGAGTGGGGCAACTTCCCATGAGGACCCTATGCGTGAGCAGACACTCACTCCCTCCTTCCCTCAGAGAAATAAATAGCCAACCCTTCCCTCCCTAATACATGTGGCCACGTGTATGCCACACATACATGTGGCAATGTCTGGGAGAAGGCTTAGAAATACACACACCCCTGGAAGAGGTAGCACTTGCACTAAACTCAGGGGTAGATGGCTGATATCAAGTCATTCCTGAGGTTGGGATGGAGGAGAGAAGAAGACAGCCACAAGAAGGAAAAAAAACCAACCTCCTAAAGATAGAAAATGATGAGAACTAGGTAAGTAGTTGCAGTTCAGTGCAAACTGATGTTCTGGAAAAAATGCATAAGCTTTGGATCAGACAGCCCAGGATTCCATTCCTGCTTCACCACCTACCAACTGTGGGTCTAGGACACATGAACCCACCTTGCTGGGCCTCAAAGTGCCCCTCTGTAGGATGGGGGTCATAGTACTAGGGCAGCTGCAGGCAGGCCTGTGTGGATAGTTGAGCTTGGAACATACAATTACCAAGCCAGCCTCTGTCTTGTCCTCGCTGCTTCTGAGATTTATTGTAATAAATGAGAAATCATGAGTGGGAAGCAGGGTCCACAGAAGCCTAGAGAAGTCCAGGCTTCCCGGGAACAGCAGAAGTCAGGCTGTGTCCCAGCCCATGGCTGCCCCTCACTCACCGCTTGATGCTCATGGGCTCTGTTAGCTCAGCACAAGCAAAGGCCTAGAGGGCAGCTCCTGGGACCTAGGGGATGGTCGGCCTGCCTCACCTGGCCAAGGTGGCTTGCTCCTGGGAGAGGGAGTTAGTCATTCCAGCTCTGCCTCCTGGGAGGAGGAGTTAAGAACTGGGACTGGTCCCTCTGCCCCCTTCTCCATTGGAAAGCCAGGCCCCTTAGGCCAGCAGAAGCCAGCTGTGTCTGAGGAAGCTTTCCTCGGTGGGCTGCTGCTTCCCCTGCCCTCTGGCTCACATTTCCTGGGTGAGAGCAGTTCCAGGCAGAAAGGACAACACGGGGAGGAGGAGGACACCTGCTGGGGCCCTCTCACAGCCCATCTGAGCCCTCTCCAGGGCCAGGAAAAGAGCCTGTTGACAGCCTGGTGCTGGCTCTTCCCTCACCTGTGCGCCCCGCCCATTCCCAAAGAGCAGGGCAGTCACTTGGCTGGCGGCCGGAAAGGCTTCGGAACAGGCAGGAGAGACGTGTAGCTCGTCTCTCGACGAGCTCGCTGCAGCCCTTAGCTCGCTGCAGCCCTCTCCCACCTCTACCAGCCACGGGCAGCACCTTTGGTCGGCCTGGGGGTGAGGCACAGAGCTCCACACCCAGGCAACTCAAGTGTGTGTGCGGTGAGGGGACACTGGGAGCGGCTGGACGACCCCCTCCTGCCGAACAGACAAGAGCCCCAGGACAAACTGGGATGGAGGTGAGGGTGCAGCTGCTGCCAGATGCGCTGGGTGCTGCCCAGGAAGGAGAGGGTTGGGGAGCCGGGTGCTCGCTCGCCGCAGCAGCTCACTCCTGCTCGCCAGGGAGCTCAGGGCAGCCCCCGAAGCTGCTAGGTCCCCCCACGCAGACGGCGGCGCTCTGCACTGCGGAGCCGCGTCCTTGGGGAGCAGCACCCCCAGCCCCGGCGCCCCGCAGTCAGGCAGCTCCCCCTCAGGGTGGCAGCATCCCCCGGCTAGGGTGCAGGGACCCCCGGGGCGCGGCGGCCGCGCATTACCTTCCACTTTGGTGAGGGTCAGGACCGGACTGTTGCAGGCGCTGAGCGGGGCCACCCGGGCCGAGTGCTTCTTCATGATGAGCTGGCCGCCTGCAGGAGCGCTGCCGCCGATCGCCTACATCCTGGGGCCGGCTGGAGCGCGCCTCTCCCGGGCCCGTGGCCGACGCGGCCCTCCGCCGCCTGGGAGCACCAGCGGTTCGCCCCTCTCAGTCCCGGCCTCCCCGGCTGCCCGCCGGGCTCCGGTCGCCGCGTTGCTCACTGCGGCGGCCACCCTGCAGCGCACATCCTCCCCGGCCACGCAGCCACTCCACACACACGCGCGCACAGCCTCCTACTTGGAGGTTGCTGCAAACTCCAACGTCACGTACAAGTGCACTCCCTGCTCCCACCCCGCAGCTCACCTGCTCCGCCCTCCTCCCCGGGACGCCCAGCCCCGCAGCCCTCATCCCTCTCTTCCTCCCAGCCAGGTCCTGACTGCAGCCTCTGTCCACCACCTCCCTGAGGAGCCCTTTAAAAGGACCAGCGCCTGCGGAGGGGAGACCCTGAGAACTTAAGCCTCAGTGTTGCACAAGTTTAAAAAGGGAAGTGCTTGACTTTGGATTGAGAGTTGACTCTTCACTGTGCGAAGTCCTGAATTATTTCACAGGGATAGTTGGAAAAAAGCAAAGCTTCCTAAGGCTGGCATTCACTTCTTGAGTCTAGAGGCACATTATCTTGTCTGGCCCCGTGGACAGCTCTTTTTCTGCAGGGTGGAGCAGGGGGTGGTTCAAACACCACAGAAGCAAAACAGCCACAAGAAAACAAATGCTTGAAGTGATTTCTGCTCCCACCCCACTGTCTCAGTCTGGAGATCCAAACTCACCTGGGTAGCAGGAAAGCTCCTTTTCTGCCCAGCTCCCAGGTTCTTGCTTCAGCTGCAGGTCTGACATTTGCCTCTGCAGGCACCGGCTTCACTGCTGTCACTCAGACACAGCTGTAAGCTACTGGTCGATGATGCTCGTTAAAAAGCTATGATATATACCTATTGCATCACTTGCCAGCACAATCCCTGAGTGACCACTGAGTCCAGAGGGGCATTTATCCCATGACAGTGCATCATCAGAGGTGCCCTGCCATCATCCCTGCATGTAGGACACACAGGGCTCACGCAGCCCCAGAACTCCCAGGGCCTTGTGCTCATCTCCGTTACACATGCCCAAACATCCGTCTGGGTCGCAGCCTCAAGGATCAGTTGAGATTCAAGGTGGGTTTTCTTGTTATTGTTGGTTAGGTCTTTGCCTAGAATTTCAGAACCTTCAATACTATCCGGTTTCCTGTCTCAAAGTTAAAATTTCATTGTATTATGTCATTCAAGTCCCCACAAGGGTAGCTCTGTGGAGTGGTACAGGAGAGAGGGAAATTCAAGCAATAGGGTTTCCTAGCTCAGCACCTACCAGTTGTTTCTGGTGACATCCACCTGCACCCCCCAGCTCTCTGGCAGAAGTGGCTCCTAGGAGTTGCTCTTGTGGCATTCTTGTTATTACTTGCCCTCTTGAACAGCTGTAATGAATGGAATGGCTCTGATCTCCAAAAGGTCAGGGCTTCTCAGAGTTGCTTCTCCATCACTACAGCCAAGGAAAAGGTATTCAGGGTCCCTGCAGAGCCCTCTAGTGGTACCCCTCCACATCATATGCCTCTTACAGGAAACGTTCCAAGACTCCTAGTGATGACACTACAATAAGCCAATAAGCCATTTCCTTCTTTGGAAAATTTAAACTCAAATAAGCTTACAGCAAAAGAATTATATATTGTATATTAAAGAGGATCTTTTTACTGCAAAATAATACTTCTATGTGTTCCATCAAGTTCAACAATAACATTTATTATATATAGTAACTAAACATATATCACATAATAATTGGACACATTTTTGAGCACACTTTATGCATTATTTATGTTAACTGTTTTACATAAATAATTTCATATCCTACTCTCAAAAGCTCTGTAAGATTGTTGTTACCTCGTTTCATAGATGGGGAAACTGAGGCTGAGAGGATAATGTCACAGGTCACAGAATGAGTAACTGGTCAAGCAGGGATTTAAATCCAAGTGTGAACTATTCAAAAGCCTGAACTTATAACCCTCCCAGTGGGTCCCTCCCACAACACATGGGAATTCAAGATGACATCTGGTGGGGACACTGCCAAACCATATCATTCTACCCCTGGACCCTCCCAAATCTCATATTCTCATATTTCAAAACCAATCTTGTCTTCCCATCTATCCCCCAAAGTCTTAACTCATTTCAGCATTAAGTCAAAAGTCCACAGTCCAAAGCCTCATCTGAGACAAGGAAAGTCCCTTCCACCTATGAGCTTGTAAAATCAAAAGCAAATTAGTTACTTCCTCAATACAACAGGGGTACAGGCATTGGGTAAATACAGCTGTTCAAAATGGGAGAAATTGGCCAGAATGAAGTGGCCCCATGCAAGTCCAAAATCTAGCAGGGCAGTTGAATCTTAAAGCTTTGAAATGCTCTCCTTTGACTCCATGTCTCACATCTGGGTCATGCCAATGTAAGAGGGGGGTTCCCATGTTCTTGGGCAGCTCTGCCTCTGTGGCTTTGCAGGGTACAGCCTCCCTCTCAGCTGCTTTCACGGGCTGGCATTGAGTGTCTGTGACTTTTCCAGGCACACAATGCAAGCTGTCTGTGGATCTACCATTCTGGGGTCTGGAGGACAGTGACCCTCTTCTCACAGCTCCACTAGGCAGTGCCCTAGTAGGGACTCTGTATGTGGGCCCTGACCCCACATTTCACTTCTGCACTGACCTAGTAGAGGTTCTCCATGAGGGTCCCACCCCTGCAGCAAACTTCTGTCTGGGCATCCAGGTGTTTTCATAGATTCTTTGAAATCTAGGTAAAGGTTCCCAAACCCCAATCTTTGACTTTTCTGCACTTGCAGGCTCAGCACCACATGCAAATTACCAAGGCTTGGGGTTTACACCTCCTGAAGCAACAGCCCAAGTTCTATGTTGACACCTTTCAGCCACTGCTGGAGCAGCTTGGATGCAGGGCACGAAGTCCCTAGGCTGTACACAGAATGGGGACCCTGGGCCTGGCCCCAGAAACCATCTTTTCCTCCTAGGCTTCCAGGCCTGTGATGGAAGGGGCTGTGGTGCAGACCTCTGTCATGTCCTGGAGACATTTCCCCCATTGTCTTGGTGATTAACGTTCAGGTTCTTGTTACATATGCAAATTTCTGCAGCTGGCCTGAATTTCTCCTTGGAAAATGGGATTTTCCTTTCTATTGCATTGAGGCTGCAAATTTTCTATTGCATCAGACTGCAAATTTTCCAAACTTTTATGATCTGCTTCCCTTATAAAACTGAATGCCTTTAACAGCACCCAAGTCACCTCTTGAATGTTTTGCTGCTTAGAAATTTCTTCTCCCAGATACCCTAAATCACCTCTTTCAAGTTCAGTTTCACAGATCTCTAGGGCAGAGGCAAAATGCCAAGAATCACCTTTGCTCCAGTTCCCAACAGGTTCCTAATCTCGATCTGAGACCACCTCAGCTTGGACTTCATTGTCCATATCACTATCAGCATTTTGGGCAAAGCTATTCAACAAGTCTCTAGGAAGTTCCAAACTTTCCCACATTTGCTTATCTTCTTCTGAGCCCTCCAAACTGTCCCAACCTCTGCCTATTACCCAGTTTCAAAGTCACTTCCACATTCTCAGGTATCTTTTCAGCAATGCCTCACTCTACTGGTACCAATTTACTATATTAGCCCGTTTTCATGCTGCTGATAAAGACATACTCAAGGCTGGGAAGAAAAAGAGGTTTAATGGACTTATATTTCCATGTAGCTGGGGAGGCCTCACAATCTTGCTGGAAGGCAAGGAGGAGCAAGTCACATCTTACGTGGATGGCAGCAGGCAAAGAGAGAGCTTGTGTAGGGAAACCCGCCCTTATAGAACCATCATTTCTCATGAGACTTATTCGCTATCATGAGAACAGCATGGGAAAGACCTGCCCCCATGATTCAATTACCTACCAGTAGGTCCTTCCCACAACACATGGGAATTCAAGATGAGATTTGGGTGGGGAGACAGCCAAACCATATCACAAGTGCTCAAAAAATACTTGTCTGTTTTTAAAATATCTACTTTCTGTTTAACACAATGCTGTGTATAAAGTCAAATAGCTAACAAATACTGTTAAAGACCACTAAATCCTTTTTTTCACATGCAGCTTATCCCAGGAGTTTTTTATACTTGGGAGGTCATCACCTTATCATGTCTGTTAACTTCTGCTTACCGAAGAGGAGTTACTAATTGCCATCTTAACTTCTTTCCTTTAATTTTAAGCACTCTATGCTGTTTCTATTTTTCATTTTCCATTCTCAACCCCATCAGTCCTATATGCTCTGTCTGCTCTGTTGTGTTTCAACAGCTGCCCCTGTTCTACCCTGCTACCCCTCAAAAAACCAAACTTTCCATACTCCTTTTCAAATCAGGAGGTTTCTGTCTGCTTGACCATATGAGTACGAATATTCCTTAAGTGAACACTTCTTTTTGGGAGTGGGATGTGGTGGGAATGCCTATGTAAAAACTCACATAAACAAAATTATCCAAGAAGCTAATGGTGTACTGGTGTATAAGCATGCACTACTGTTTTGAGAATTCCAACAATTTAAAGCTTCACTGGAGCTTTTTTTATTATGGCTTCACTGGAGTCAGGCCATAATAACCTATTCTAGGATACTTAGGAAATTGCCCAAGCCCCACCTAAAAACTCAAATCTCACAAAAACTCCAATCTCACATTTCCCCCCCCACCACCAAAAAAGTGCCAATACTTCTTCCAACAAAGAGAGCTGAGACCCCTGATATATCAATGGCAACAATACTGTATAAATAATATCCAGACAAAAGGATGGGTCATTTGACCTCTGACCCCTATTCCTCTTTTGAGGGTGTTAGCATGAGATAATATCGGGATGAGATCATTGGGCACCTATCTGTCTTGACTTTAGTATTACAGGAGCTGGGAAAAGGAACTGGGCTGACTTTTTCAGATTTTACTCATTAAATAGGTCTTCCTTGTCTTCTTCTAAGAGTGTACTGTGCAACAGTTTGCTCATCAAAGCCAAGGATCTCCTCAGCGATGTGCGATGGTGTCTATTCTGATAGAAGCCTGTTCTTTATCACCAGCCCTACTCTCTTGTTTGTTTTTTCATTGATATGGCTGGGAATTGGATGGGTATTTAATGACAATTTATGGTAGTCTGGTATGGCAGACTTACGAAGAGTGATTGGGTTTTGTGATCTCAGCAGAGGTCTGGATACTGAAGTGGGTGTGCTGGGTAGATATAGAAGGGAACAGATGCAGAGCTCACATGCCAGGAGTGTAAGTTTTATACTCCCTGCCTCCTCCCAGCTCCTCACATGCAAACCACAGTGAAAAGCAGTAAGAAAGGAGTCCTAGATAAGAAAGGAGTCAAAATGCCCAGTTTCTTCGACGACCCAGGGGGCTGTGTTGAAATTGCGACCCCCAGGGTGAGGACCCAGCCATGGCCCTTTAGAATGAGAAAGCAGACAGGCCGGGGCTGATCATCAGGAAGAGGGTAGCTACATTGGGCCCACCTGATTCCTTGGATTCTGGAGGTTTGTTACTCTTCTTCCCAGTACAGAATTCCAGCCTGGGTTGTGTGAACAGCCTCTTCTCACCCTACTTGGACTGGTTCACACGTCCGCCATCCACAGGGGCCTCTGGTCTCTTCATTCCCACGCAGGGGTATGTAAATATCTATGGTCCCACTGCACGATTCCAATAAGGCATCAATCCATTTGCTAGAGTTAAGTGATACTCACGATTCCCTTGAGACCAACGGAGCATGGAAAATGCCTTAAAGTATAGCCAACATCTTGAGTTTGAACTCCAGCTCCTCCAGGAAGAAGCAGCCAACCTTGAGTGGTCGCCAAGTCTCTTCTGGCCTCAGTTTCCTGATTTGGGCCTGAAAGAATTGGACCCCTCTGGCAGTTTTCCAGCTGTATACTTTTCTTTTTTCTTTTATAAAAGAGACAGGATCTTGCTGTGTTGCCCAGGCTGGAGTGCCATGATGTGATCACAGCTCACTGCAGCCTTGAATTCCTGGGCTCAAGCAATCTTTCCACCTAAGTCTCCTGAACAGCTAGGACTACAGGTGTGCACCATCACACCTGAATAATTTTTAAAAATTATTTCTTTTGTAGAGATGTGAGCTCACTGTGACACCAGGCTCGTCTCAAACTCTTGGTTTCAAGCAATCCTCCTGCCCCGCACTCTCAAAGCATTAGGATTATAGGCACGACCACCATGCCCAGTGCAAACTATTTCTTGGTCTCTGCAAACTCTACTTTTATTTGTTGGGGTCCTATGTTAGATTTGGTTTATAAAAGAGACGTCATGGCTAAAAGAAAGTTTAGAAAGACATCAACTAGATAATCTCCTAGGTCCTGTTAGCCTTTAAAATGTGGGGTGTATGAAATTATTTTCCTATGTGTTACAATTGTCACTGCCAACAAAGACCTTAACATTATCTTTCCTGTCTCCAGTTAATTCAATAGATTTTTGAGGAGAAAGGAGGGACAGAAGAAAAGAGGAAGGAGGGAGGGAGGGTGGAAGGAAGGAAGGATGGAAGGAAATAAAAAAAGAGGAAAGAGGCAGGGAGAAAGGAAGAAAGAGGGAGGAAGGAAGGAGAGAGGAGGAAAAGTACTGTTAAAATTATATTCATGCAAGTTATGTGAAGACCTTTACTTCATGTGTTCAGAATAAATTCATAAATGTTAAATCCAGCTATGGTTTTCAATAGTCAGAAAACAGACCACTTTAATTAATTTACTCTGAAATATCAACACTGTTTAATAGTCCGTTACTGTATTAAATAGTGAGAATAACAAATAATTTTTATGGTTACCAATGTTTAAAAATAATCACTTAAAGTGGAACCAGATGTGGAATTTCACCCCAGTACATCAGTCCACAATATTCAGAAGCCTTCTGAGTGGGGCAAGCACTGGCGTGTCCAACAGGAGAGACAGAAAGCCTAACGATGGCCAAGTAATGGACTCCCATGCACTGGGCAGCTCTTTTCCCTCACCTGGCAGGGATCATTGACATCCTTTTCAATAACTCCAAGTGCAAGGGCAGGAAAACAAGAACCTCACATGTCTCTTTTCTTCCCCAGGCAGCAACATGCCTCAGTACGACAAACTCAGACCTACTAGGGTTCCATGAAGCTTCGTCCTCTTTCTCTAGGGAGGAACACCAAGGCTGAGTAACTCCAGCTGCGGACAGGACATTGAGAGGTGAGACCACTGGGCTTCCAGACTCATTCCCTGGCCCCTCCGGACTCTCTCAGGGTGACACACAGCAGCTGACCCTGTGGTGATGCTGGAGTCCAGAGTCAGGATCATGACGACCAAAACAGAGGCATGGAGATGGGGGCAGGGTGTCTGCCTCCTTCCTCTGTGAATCCAAGTCAGGGGCCTGTCCTGTGCTCAGCGGCGAACACTGGATGCCGGTTTCTGGAGGAGTGCACCATGGCACAGTGGAAGCTGAGCAGGGCACCACCCTGGCAGTGGCACTGCTGGGAGGGAGTTCCTAGGTTGGACCCCTAGGGGAGAGTGAGGCTCCCTTTCCTGGGACCTTCCAGAGGTCAGCTGGGTGGCCAACATAGAGATTGGGGGTGTCGGGGGACTAACACAGTGTCTAGCACACAGCAGGTACTCAAGAAATGATACTCCCTTCCCATTGGGAAGTGGTCATGCCAGCTTCCAGAAACTTCTTCCAATAGCGTGAACTGGTACAGAAAGGGGGCATTGCTTATACATGGTTTTACTTGGGCAAGCTATTTCATCTCTCCATGTTCAGCCAGATGTCTCTTCTCCAAAATGGAGATAATAATAGTATCTGCCTTATTTGGCTGTGGTGAAGATTAAAAGAATTAATATATGTAAAGTGGTTATAATAGTACCTGGCAAATAGTAAGAATCAATATACATAAGTCTTTATTTTCAGTCTCTTACATAATGGAAAGGGTCATCTCTGATTTGGTGCCTAAAACAGTATATGGCTCATATAGTAGGTGTTCCAAGTGAGAAGAAGGAAAAGAGGAGGGAGGAAAGGAATGAGGGTGTGAAGGAAAAAAGGAAGGAGGAGGGAGGAAGGAAAGAAGGGAGGAAGGAAGGGAGGGAGGGAGGGAGGATGGAAGGAAGGAACGAAGAAGGGAAGGAGGGAAGGAAGGAAATAAAGAAAAAAGAGGAAGGAGGCAGGGAGAAAGGAAGAAGGAGGGAGGAAAGAAGGGAGGAGGGAGGAGGAAGGAAGGAAAGAAGAAAAAAGGAAGGAGGGAGGGAGAAAGGAAGGAAGGAGGAGGGAGAGAGGGAGGGAAGAAGGAAGAAGGAAGGAAGGAAAGATGAAAAGAAGGAAGGAAGGAAAGAAGAGAAGGAAGGAAGGAAGGAGGGAGGAAGGAGGGAGGGAGAGAGGAAGGAGGGAGGGAGGGAGGAGGAAGGGAGGAGGAAAGATGGAGGAGAAAGGGAGGAAAGAGGAAAAGAGGAAGGAGGAAGGCAGCTGGGAAGGTAGGAAGGAAGGAGGAGGGAGGGAGGGAGGAAGGAAGGAGGGAGGGAGGAAGGAAGAAAGAAGGAAGGAAAGAAAGAAGAAAAGAGGAAGGAAGGAGGGAAGGAGGGAAGGAGGGAAGGAGGGAGGGAGGAAGGAGGGAGGGAGGAAGGAGGGAGGGAGGAAGAAGGGAGGGAGGAAGGAGGGAGGGAGGAAGGAAGGAGGGAGAATCTATTAGAATTGCCTGCTTTATCCCAGATGTTCCTTTGCCGCCTGCATGGCACCAGGAGTGATGAAGCAACGGTGGCTCCCCTCTGCTCAGGTCTCTGTGTCTCTCTCCCTGGCTTGATCTCAGAGGAAGTGTATTTTGAAGACCAGGGCACTGGACTCAAGGTGAGGAGGGAGATCAGATGCCATTTAGTTCGGAAATAGCTGCTGCTTGTGTTCCGGATGACTCATCGACCACAGCTGGCCTCCAGTCAGATTCCTCTGTGGAGTGGGAACTAGAATACTGACCTAAATCGGATCCCTGTCAATGCCAGGAGACGGCTCCCTTGGCTGGTGTCTGTTTCCAAGGGTGAATCAAGGGGATTGGTCCTCAGGCTGGGCTTGAGTTGGAGGAAGACATCCAGATTTGGGAAGGATGTTGCTGCGACTCCACTCCTTAGTTATTCCTGAGCATAGGCTGGCCAGCACCTGCAGGCAAGGTCTTGTTCAATGAGGTTCTCAGAGGCCTAACGTTGGGCAGACCCAGTTTCAGAAGTCCTGGTCTCTGAGATGGGGGTCTCCTATGCACTGCGAAGCCCTCTGCCTCTCTCCAAAGGCAGCCATCATGTTCTGACTTGCTCTGAAGTTATTTGTATACTTGTTCCAGCTTCCTGCTGGGCTGTCAACTCTCTACGGAGTTGGCCGTAAACAGGGTATCAATGATCATTGTTGAGTGAATGAATGCGTGGAAAGTCACTAGGGCAGAAAGAAGCAGGAGTTTTCCAGGGGTCAAGGTAGGCATGTCTTTGGAGGTAGGCAACGTGAGCCCTGGAAATAGCCCCCCCACAGGAAATAGCCCCCCTCTGGAAATAGCCCCCCGCTCCCCGCCAGGAACCAGGAAAGTCCTGCCATGACTCAAAGGAGGGCTGCACAGTGAGAACCCCTTGGGTGCTGGCTGCCTCTGGGCACCCTGCTCCTCACACGGCCCCTCATCCCCCGCTGGCTTCTTTTCTGCTACCAGAGAAACTGGCTCTCCTCCCCGACTGCCTGCTTAGGCCAGTGGATCTAGGAAATAACCAGGCCCTCTTAATACCTGACCCAGCTCTGCTGCTTCACTCATCATATAAACACCAGATGCCTGCAAAGATCACAAAAGCTCTGCAGTGTTTTTCATGTAGGAGTGGTGCAGTGGGTTTATGGAGTGTCACACAGAGAGGTGCTGAAAAGTACTTATCACATCTCCCTGCCTCTCCGCATTTCCTAGCTCCCCCAGCTGCCACGTGCCCCTCATCCCTGTAACATCCTCACCAGCAAGTTCTCCCTCCCCACACCCTCCTCCTCATCCACAGCACGACCTCACCGGCAGGTCCTTCCTCCCAACATAGCCTTCTTCTCCTCCTTCCTCTACAAGGACCCCTGCGCCCCCCACTCCCCTGGTCATCTCAGGCAAGAGGAGCCTCTTGGGGAGTGTCTTCTGCTATCTGCTCAGGCAGGGGGAGGCCCCTGGATTTCTGGCTCCTAAAACCCTCTTCCTTGCTCTGTTTGCTTTCCTGAGGGCTTGGTGCTGGCTTACTTTGCCTCTAGTGAGGAATTTTCTTCTGGATATTGGTGCACGCTTCTCTCCATCTCAAACAACAACTTTTCATTGGAAGCCCTCAGGCCCTTCTCTAGGCTTCTAGCTGTTTCTGCCCCTCAGACTGGCTTCAGAGAAAGGTCAGAGCCCCAGTGGAGTCCGGTAAGCCTAGATTCTCCAAGTGGGAGGGAGTACAAATCCAGCATTCCTGGTGCTAGCTGTTCTCAGGCATCCTCTCTTTGTTTTGAGATGGAGTCTCACTCTGTTGCCCAGGCTGGAGTGCAGTGGCGCAATCTCAGCTCACTGCAACCTCTGCCTCTCGGGTTCAAGCGATTTTGAGCACTGTCTCTTGGGCTACCACCTCACTGAAAGCAGACACTCTGTTCCTGGCGCTATGTTCTGCATAGTAACCATGAAGGTGAGCTGTGATCAGTAATACTCCCCGAAGGCAGGACATGCTGAGACCATTACCTCAGAGTGTGGCCCATCCAAGTCCGCTAGAACTGTCCTGGGAACTCACTGAATGGGAGTGAAAATTTTGCATGTCACAGATTGCCAAATGACCCTATTGGCCAAAAAAATATAAAGTGCTCCAAAGAAATAATTGTGTCTTTCCACCAATAAGTGCTGAGGGTGGCTCTTTCTCCCTTGTTTTTCACATATTTGTTGGCTTACACTGGGCATTTAGAGTTAGTTTTATTCATAAGAAGTTGCACCTGTCACCAGAAGAGTAGCTGCAGGAAAATGGGAGAAAGATGTTCCAAAATTTAATCAGATTTGAGCAACACACCTCGTTTTTTGCAAAAGGAAGCAAACAACCCAAAATTCTACTTAAGGCAAAGACTGTTCCTTTTGTGAAGCAGAAAGAGAAGGTCCTGCCAAAGCTGGATGAAAGCAAAAAGAGATGAGGTGTAGAGGTGTGTCCTGCTCCTGACTGAGCCACTGTGAGTCCATGCCTTTTCCCAAAGATGGATTTGTTTGTGTACGGCAAAAAGTCAACTGAATTCCCAATAATTCCCTAGAGTTCCCGGCAGGGTTTGGAGGACTAAATGTATACGTGGTTTGTTCCTAAAATTATCTAGTTGGTGCCTCAGTATTTCTGGCTTGTGGATTCCTAAACTACCTTTTAACAAATAGCTCCTTAGGCACTAGGACAAAGGTGAGCTCCTCAGGGCTCCAGGGGTGCATCTGAGGTGAAGCTTTGGGCCATCATAATTGTGACCAGCCCAGAGCCCTTGGCAGAGGAATCACGCAGGGTTTGTGTTTGTCCGAGTGTATCAACAAGATAATAATGTTCTAGATTGATGGGAACTTTTCAACATGATCTAGTCCAAATTTGTTTTTGGGTGTTTGTCAATCTTTGTTTTGCTTTTAAGATGATTATCTTTAGAAATTCCATGCACTGCTGATGAGAATAAAAATTGATATATCCCTCTTGAAGGTTGATAATATATATCAAAGTTCTGGCCTCTTATTCACTGTTTCTATTTTTAAACTTCTTTTTTCTAAAAAATAATCTGATGTGAATATAGATATGCTACAAAGATGTTCATCCAAGTTTTATTGCTGTTAATACACTGGAAATAACCTAAATGTCCATCAGAAGGGAAATAGGAAATAAAGTATGGTGTATTTACACAAAAGAATATAAGACAGCTAAGAAAATAAGTGATTCAATGACACAGGGAAAATGCTAGAGAGGAAAAAAGGCATGCATCTGACAGCCCACATAATCGTTACGCATACTACGTATTCCCTTATGGAGATCATATCAGTCAACATATATGTGTACATATGTTATCTACATAAGATCTATACCTAGCTCACATATATTCAGAAAAAAATGGAATAAACTTCCACTTTTTAAAAGTTTTCATGTTTTCTAACTACCACAGGTAACAACAGTGAGTCATTCTCTCCTTGAGCCTTCTCTGACAGAGAAGGCTGTCTACTTTTAAAATTCAATTCATTGGG